AACATTTTACTTCTGAATCAGTCTCCAACTGGGATAAGATTTTTTCACTCAGCAATTAAGTTCTAGCCAGAATTGATATTAAATGCAGCAAATGATAAAGCTGTTGCTCAGAGTGTCTAAGGTCGCATGTTTTAAAGACAACAATGATTACAACAGTATTTTTCAAACTAAAAGTTGCAATCCATTTGTGGGGTCCAGAAAATCAATTTTGTTCAAACACTTGTTGGTCATAATCAACAATTTTTTTAATGCAATGGAATAAAATGGAAAATATCACAGTGCATAGGGCATAGTAAGGGTTAAGTATTATTTGGCAAAACCAATTCAAAGTTATATTCATGCATATGTGTGTGTACTGGGTACCTAAAAGGTACTGCTTATTAGAGGCTGTGATCTTTTTTAAGCTTGAAAGCACCTGAACACCCTTACCATGCCCTTCACACCACCAACTCTCCCCAAGAGAAGTACTCATCAATGCAAATGAGTACAACAGAAAATGTATTTGCTGCTGTCCACAGCTCCCAATAAAAATAACTACAGGCTCTGAAAGTTCACTTGCAAAAATTAGACTAAAATAACTTTTATTCTAGGGACAAAAGGGATAACTGGCTAAAAAAGGAAGGAGGACAGTTTTCAGAAGAAAGAAAATGCTTTTTTCAAAATACCCTTAAGTCAGTTTAATCTACCCTCTAAATTAAAAGTAAGGCTACTACTCAGAATTTAAACCTAAGTCACATTTGTCAAATTAAACATCTCCTTTGGTTTTCCCACTTGTTTCTGCAAATCACTTGTACAGGGTGGCTTTTTAACAAAATCTTGCAAAACTGAAGGAGAAAAATTTTTGAAGAGCCACTGACAAGCATTTTAAAAATCAGGTAAAGAGCCCAGCCCATTATCATACCATCCCATTAAAATTTTTCTTTATATTTCAAATACAAAAAGATAAATTCTGGACCACAATAAACAAAATAGGAAGAAAGTCTAACAGAAGTTAAGTTATTCAAGGGCCTTCCAGGTCATATGAAGATTTTTCATGTTGTTACACTTTCCAAAGATTCCACACTACCTTGTCACACTAGCAAGAGAACATCCACATTCAAAGAAGTAGGACCACTAACAGAAAAACACAAAGGAAAATACTAGACATGAAGACTGAAAACCCAGGGTTCAAGTCCACTTCAGCAACTTAATACCTACGTGACATTGGGAAACTCATTTAAAAATCTCTGTGCCTTAGTCTTCTTACCCATAAAATAAGGATAATAAAGTCCAACTTACCTGGTAGAGCTATTGTGAAGATCAAAATTAAATATACATGAAAGTGCTTTGTAAAGTACTTTACAAATATTGGTGTTTATATTTACTATCATATTCCCAATACCACAGTTGAATCAACACCTGAGCACAGTCAAGCAAATGTCAATGGCATTGTTTCATTCCCACACAGATGAAGCGTTAGGCAATGTAATGTGCCATAATTTAAGCAGAGCTTCAAACTGGTTCATTCCGATTCAAACTCCTGCTGAGAATTTGCTTTTCCTCCCCAGATCTACTCAATCAGAATCTACATTTTAACATCATTCCCCAGATAATTCTTACGTATAATAAACTTTGAGTACCAAGGCTCTACTAGTGGTTCTCAGAATTGGTCTCTAACCAGCAGCATTAGCATCGCCTGGGAACTTGCTAGAAATGCAAATTCTCAGCAGGGGTCTGAACCAGTTTGAAGGCCCTGGTAGGCACACATACACATGACCACATTTTTCTTAGGGAAATCAATAAGCCCCAGTATAGAGGAAAGAGCCCTCAAGTAAATAGAAGACAAATTTCAATTGTTATTCAGCTACTAATTTGCACTATTAACTTGGACAAGTCATTTCACCTGTGTGTCCCTCCGTTACCTTACCTTTCCAAAGAGACTATTTGCCTCATCTACTTAAAAAGGTGATTGTGAGGATGAGATGAGAAAACATTCGTGCAAGTGTTCCACAACACAAGTTTCTGTCCGGAGGTGAGATGGGAAGGCAGAGAGGGTTAGGAGCTGGTTGAATGGACATGGGGAATCAGGGGTAGAAGGGAGGAGTGTGCTGTCACAGTATAGGGAGAACAATTAGAGTCACATAGCAATGTATGTATAAATTTTTGTATGGGAAAAAATTTTTTAAAAAGTGTTCCACAATAACACAAAATAGAGTAAGGATATTGTTGATGTGTTGTGAGATTGTTAACCATTGTCATAGGGCAACATTTGTAGTAACCGTTAAATGGGAGACTATTTTGTCCTGTAAGCCTTCATCTTAAGTGAGAATAACAGCACAATTAGAAGAGCATAGTCAATGTCACTTAAATGTGTATGTAAAAAAAATTTTTGAAATGGCGTATCTTTGGCTATGTGTATTTTCACCAAAAAAAAAAAAAAGTTGAGTATTTAGAGGGTTAAAATGTTGTGGGGTTGTTAACCAATGTCATAAAACAGCATGTGTGTTACTGTTACATGAGAAACTATCTGTTCTGTAAGCCTTCACCTGAAGTACAATAAAATATTAAAAAAAAAAAAAAAAGTGTTCCACAACAACTAAAGACTAAGTTTTATCTCTTAAACTCACCATCAGGTGCTGATAAAAATCCTGTCTGAGGATGGTGCCTATCTGTTTAGTAAGGGAACAGCAGAAGAATATGGAAAGCAATAAAAACACAATTAAAATTCACCTTCACCCCATCCCTGGCTCATGGGTTTGCTGACCGGGGAGATGTAAAGATCACAGGCTTAGTTTCTGTCCAGCTTAAGCTGTTCAGTGACTAGTGTTTCACACTGATAAATGCCTCCCAAATCTCAAAGCACAAAGTGCGAGTTCACAAGGTTAGGCGCATTAATTAGCAGTACTCATTTGGATTCTGTATTCATCAAACACAACAAGCAGCTATTCAATATTTGCCTGTTTGCACTACTCTAAGATCTCTAATTCAAAGGTACAGCCAGAGAACAAAACAAGCCCAAGAAAATAAACTAAAATAAACCTGTCACCATCAGAATGGGCCTCAAAGTAAATTAGTAGCTTTAAACGATGACCAAGGGTCTGCACAGGCCTACAGCAGAGATCGTATGAGTAAATGAATGAGCAGGATACAGAAGCGGGTCCCGTGGCAAAAGAAAGGAAAAATAAAATAGTTCCAGGCAAAAAGACTACTTATTGTACTTTAACAAATTCCTCTTAACTCCTTTTACTTAGCTCTTTATTGATCTGTAATCCCCACAGGAACAAGTTTTATACAGCATCCTTTCAGATTCTTTAGAACTCAATAAATCTATTCTCATATTTTACTTCAATTAGCTTTACCTTCCCATATTCAAAATAGGCCTATATCCAAAATAAGCAACATTATGTAAATAATGAAATATCCACATTTGTGTGTAAGACTAGATTAAGAGACTGAGCATGTTCCCCCATATATAATGCATTGTAGGTGAAAAAACGCAGGATGAAACAGAGAAAATGTCACTCCTTTAAATGCAACCCCTAGAACTGCAGTTCTTGCCTGGGCTGCACAGCAGAACCACTTGCAAGGATTTCTAAATATTTGAATGGGGAAGCCCAATCAGAGACCTACTCAACCAGAATCTCTAAAGTATTTTTCTGATGTATGGCCAGGATGTAGAACTACTATCAAAGGGTATAGACTGCTCAGCTTACAGAAGCTTTAGGGGAGACCAAAAATAAATAAATAAATAACAACTCTATATTCTCATTAGATTTGGAGTAAATAACTATCTTTCCCAAAAAGCTTTCATAGAGACAATCTTCAATTACATCTGCATTTCTCTGACATTCCAGAGGTGATGATCACACTGGGAGATGAACACAGAGATGAACAATACTTTTTCTCCCCTCCCTCTCCATGTCCCACCTGAGGCCAGAGTGATGTCAACCCACCACCAATAGTGCTTTGAGTGACCCAAGAGAATTGGGCAAATAATCTCAAATCTGGAAGGCCCCCAAATAGATGACTACTGGTTATAGGGACATCCTACTTTTTAAGATCAGTTTCAGGAGCTTTGATGAGATGAAACAGACTTCTGGAGAAGGGGAACTATGTCAACCCTTTGGTTTAGAATTCTGATGATTCATATCCCTTAGACAAACCTAAAAATGGTGAATTTTTTTTTTTTTTTTGACAACCCTGTAATGAATGGTAGATAGGCATTCAAAGATATTTCCAGAGGCTACCCTTTCAAATCTCCTGAACAATGTCAGTGTTCCCAAACAGCAAGGAGGCAAATCTCAGACACTAGGTGATTTGAGCCCCACCATTTCTCTAAGATGAAGACTTACCTGTTCTTCTACCCTAACTCTGATGCAGCCTCATCTGTTCAAGGCTTCCAACAGCAAAAAGATAAAGAAGGCATTTTACACTTGCCTAAACCAAACAGATAATGTCTCATAGGAAGCAGTTCTGTTTTGACTTACAATAGGACCTCAGCTTGTTCTAATCATCCCTCCATCTACCAGAGAAAGTCAGCAGAAACTTACCCCTCTCTTGGGCAAGCCTTCCCTAATTAAAGCCATAAGGCTGAATTCCTCCAGGGAACAGAATGGAATTTTCTTGCTGCAGATTATTGCAAGGACTCAAACAATCTGTACAGTGAGGGGCTAAGTGGCAGGGAATAGAGAGACAAGTTCAGCATTTAGAACTATGAGGCATCAAGAAAATCAGATTTAAAAATTACTATACAGCCTGGAGATGAAAACATAAAAGTAATCATGACTGTGATTGAGTGATCTCCCCCCTTACGACATCCACAATTGAAATAACATGATTATACTACTTTTAGAACCAGAAAATACATTTAATTTATATCTCTAAAAGTAAATTTATTGCTGAAGCAAGCCATATCACTCTCCAAAATGAATAATTTCAGGAAGTGTTCTTTATCATAACCTCCTTAGATAAAACACACACACACACACACACAATCTGAGTTATAAACAGCAGATACCAACCTGGTTGTCCCGTGCTGGGAATCCATGATAACCTGAGGTCAGAGGCTCGTTCTAAGAGAAAGAAAAGAAACGTCTAACTATAAAAAGAAGAAATTGGAAAGAATAATCAAAATCAAGTATAAATTAATAAGTATAAATTCTTGCCCTGGTTCCTAAGGTGTTCCATTGCTGTATTCTACTCTAACTACATACTTCTTCCAGTTCAACCTCTACCACAGTAAAAATAAAAGCAAACAAAAACAGTATTTGCTTAGGAACACTATTTTTAAACCCTCTTTTCTTCCTTGTGCAGCTAAACCTGTTCCCTTCACAGTATATCTCAACCAAGATGCTACTCTGACTTGAGACAGAACAATTCCTAACTTCACACTGCAGAACCATAGCATGCCTTGCAGCTACCCCAAAAAAAGCCAGCAGCACTCCTAAACTTGAGGACAACCAAAACCTCCCACACATCTCCAGAGAGCCACTGCCAGGAAAGGGGACTACATCCCAGTTAAGAACTGCCTCTTGACCTGAAAAAGTCTTAACCATTTCCCTCTATCAATCTGCTTTCCTTCAGTTCTTTCAACCTAGATGAAATTCTACCTCTGCTCAAGACCTCCTCCTACCAACCTATACCATCTGACAGACTCAAGTGACTCCTTCCAACATGTATATAGGTCAAAGTTTATTTACATTATTCATGCAATTTACTTTTCATATTATTTATCTATTTATTCTTACTTTTGTAAAGGTGCATCATATTGAATGTCTGCCTCATTTTCACATTCAACCACAAGATCCTTGAGGCCAAAATGATAGCAATAAAAGTTATGTAAATCTTAATTTAACATAAGGTCATACAACATGAGCACTCATTTATGGTTTACTTATTTAACCCATCATTCAGTCAACATAAACTGAATATCTAATATTTTCAAAGTACTGTTAGATGACAGAGTAAGAAAGATGAATAAAACAAGTCTTTTGCCTTCAAGGGAACTTTAAATGAGAGGAGATATACATGAACACAGAGGGGTAAATGAAAACATATGGTGCTTTTGTAATTTTCAAAGTGTTCAACACAGCTACCTTAAAGATATTCATCCTCTTCTTTTTGTACTTTCATTCTTACTAGCAAAATAACACGTTAAAAGGAATTTTCATTGATGGGACTCTCAACTCTGACAAGAGGGTAAACTTTCCACCTAATGGTATGTCTGCTTTGATTATTTTCATGTTTTTGATAATCAAAGGTCCACATTTCCTTCAAAAACATGAAAAGCTCATTACAGTTTCTGGAGACCTGGTACAACGTCTAAAACATGGTGAACAAAAGAATGTGTAAATAAATAAATGGAGTTAAAAAAATCACAAAAATTACTTAGGAATTCAGTCACCAATTCATTCATAGACAACCCAAGTTCTCCTTTTCTATTCCCAAGTCCCTATTTTGGACATTTTAAAATTATAAATTAGTCTCCCCAAAGAAATCACACCCAGACACTGAAGATTACTGCCTTAAACACACACACACACACACGAATTAGGATGCCAAAACAATCTTGAGAAAGAAGAACAAAGCACTCACACTTGCCAATTTCAAGCTTACTACAAAGCTACAATAACCAAGATAGTGTGATACTGGCATAAGGATAGACATACAGATCAATGGAAAAGAATGGACGGCTCAGAAATAAACCTTTACAGTTATGGTCAATTGATTTTTGACAAGGGTATCAAGAGAAATCAACAGGGAAAGAATAGTCTTTTCAACAAATGGTACTGGAACAACCAAATAGCCACAAGTAAAATAATGAAGTTGGACCCTACCTCATACCATATACAAAAATTAACTCAAATGGATCATAAATCTAAAACTATGAAACTCTTAAAAGAAAATATAGGAGTAAATCTTCCATGACCTTGGGTTAGTTTCTTCAATCCAAAGACCAAAAGCACAAGTAACAAAGGAAAAAAATAGATAAACTGGACTTCATCAAAATTAACAATGTTTGTGCTTCAAAGGACACCATCAAGTAAAAGATAACCCACACAATGGTGGAAAAAATATTTTCAAATCATATATCTGATAAGGGACTTTTATCCAGAATATAGAAAGAACTCTTACAACTCAACAATAAAAAGACAGATAACTCAATTTTTTAAATGGGCAAAGGATTTGAAAAGACATTTCTCCAAAGATATACAAATGGCCAATAAGCACCTGAAAAGGTGCTCAACATCATTAGTCATTCCAAAACCAAAACCCACTGCCATCGAGTCGACTCCAACTTAAGTGACCCCATACAGTTTCCAAGCCTGTAAATCTCTACAGAAGCAGATTGCCACATCTTTCTCTCACAGAACCACTGGTGGTTTTGAACCGCCGACCTTTCGGTTAGCAGTCGAATGCTTTAACCACTGCACCACCATGGCTCCTTCATTAGTCATTAGGTAAATACAAATCAAAATCACAATGAGATACCACTTCACACCACTAAGATGGCTACAGTCAAAAAGATAGACAATAGCAAGTGTTGATGAGGATGTAGAGCAATTGGAATTCTCAAACATTGCTGGTGTATATGTAAAATGGTACCGTTGCTTTGGAAAACAGTTTGGCTGTTCCTCAAAGCGTAAAATAGTTACCATATAACCCACCAATTGCCCTTTAGGTATACTGAAAACATAAGTCCACATAAAAGCTTGTACATGAATTTTCATAGCAGTATCATTTCATAACAGCCAAAATGTGGAAACAACTCAAATGTCCATCAAAAAGGTATGGATAAAGTGTGATATATCCATACACTGGAATATTATTTGGCAATAAAAAGAAATGAAATACTGACACAATATGTATGAATCCTGAAAACATATGAAGTGAAAAAAACTTGACACAAAAGGCCACATATTATAATTCTATTTACACGAAATGTCCAAAATAGGCAAATGTATAGAAACAGAAAGTAGATTAGTGGTTGCCAGGAGCTGGCTGGGGAGAGGAAGGAATGACGAGTCATAGCTAATAAGTATGGAGTTTCTTTTTAGAGGTGATGAAAATGTTTTGGAATTGGTAGTGGTGACAGATGCACAACTCTATGAATATACTAAAAACCACTGAATTGTACACTTTAAGGGGGTGAGCTTTTGGTCTATGAATTATATCTCAATAAACCTGCTATTAAAAAATAATAATCATTGTGGGTAATGATGACTATTTTTCACACTGATTTTTACAAGAGAGACATATTCAGTTTAGATTATAACAAAAGAACGGGCTGTTGCCATCGAGACGACTCCAATTCACGGTGACCTTATGTAGATCAGAACAAAACATTGCCAGGTCCTGAGCCATCTCCATGATCAATGGCATGTTTGAGTCCATTGCTACAGCTACTGTGTCTATCCATCTCATTGAGTGTTTCCCTCATTTTCACTGACTCTCTACCAAACATGATGTCCTTTTCTAGCAATTGGTCTTTCTCGATGACATGTCCAAAGTAAACGAAATGAAGTCTCACCATCCTTGCATCTATGGAGTATTCTGGGTATACTTCTTCTAAGACTGATTTGTTTGCTCTTCCGGCAGTCCACGGTATATTCAAAATTATCACCAACACCACGATTCAAATGTGTCAATTCTTCTTCTGTCTTCCTTTTTCACTGTTCAGCTTTTACATGCATGTGGGATGACTGAAAAGACGCACTTAGTCATCAAAGTGACATCCTTGCTTTTCAAAACTTTAAAGAGGTCTTTTGCTGAAGATTTTCCTAATGCAATACAGTCATTTGATTTCCTGACTGCTGCTTCCATGGACATTGATTTTTGATCCAAGTAGAATGAATCACTGACAACTTTAATTTTTCTTCCATTTATGATGATGTTGTTTACCAGTCCAGTTGTGAGGATTTTCATTTTCTTCATGTTTAGGCATAATCCATACTGAAGGCTGTAGTCTTTGACCTTCATCAGTAACTGTTCCAAGTCATCTTCATTTCTGGCAGGCCAAGGTTGTGTCATCTGCATATCACAGGTTGTTAATCAGTCTTCCTCCAATCCTGATACTGCATTCTTCTTTATATAATCCAGTTTCTCAGATTATCGTTTCAGAATACAGATTGAATAAGGTAAAAGAATACAACCCTACAGCACACTTTTTCCAATTTTAAACCATGCAGTATGCCCTTGTTCTGTTCAAATGACTGCCTTATGATCCATGTACAGGTTCCTCATGAGCACAGTTCCGTGTTCTAGAATTCCCATCCTTCACGGTATTATCCATAATTTATTATGATCCATACATAGTCAATAAAACGCAGGTAAACATCTTTTTGGTACTCTCTGCTTTCAGTCAAGATCCATCTGACATTAGCAGTGATATTCCTCATTCCACGTTCTCTTCTGAATACAGCTTGAACCTCTGGCAGTTCCCTTTTGATGTATGGCTGCAATCATTTTTGAATTATCTTCAGCAGAATTTTGCTAGCATGTGATATTAATGACATAGTTCGATAATTTCCACATTCTGTTTGATCACCTTTCTTTGGAACGGGCACAAATATGGATCAGCTGACCATATTTCCAGTCAGCTGACCAGGTGCTGTCTTCCAAATTTCTTTACACAGATGAGTAAGCGCTTCCAGCATTGCATTCATTTGTTGAAGCATCTCAGTTGGTACTATTGCATCCATTCCTGAAGCCTATTTTTGCCAATGCTTTCAGTGCAGCTTGAATTCTTTCTTCAGTACCAGTGGTTCTTGATCATATGCTGCCTCTTAAGTGGTTGAATATCAACCAATGCTTTTCGGTACAGTAACTCTCTACATACAGAGTTATTCCTTCCTTCTTTTTTTTTTTTTTTTCTGATATTTCCTGTGTCTCTCAATTTTTTGCCCATAGAATCCTTCAGTAATGCAACTCGAGGCTTGAATGTTCTCTTCAGTTCCTTCAGCTTGAGAAATGCCGAGCACATTCTTCACTTCTGGTTTTTTGACGCCAGGTCTTTGTACATTTCATCGTAATACTTTACCTTGTCTTCTTGAGCTACCCTTTGAAATCTTCT